AAACTCCAATTAAAAACGGACACGTGAAAATACGATTCAGACTGAATACGTAAAAATCCGATACTAAACGGACACGTGAAAATCAGATTCGAAACGGACAAGTGAAAATCCAATTCAAAACTGACACCTGAAAATCCGATTCGAAACGGACAAGTGAAAATCCAATTCAAAACTGACACCTGAAAATCCAATTCGAAATGGACACGTGTAAATCCTATTCGAAACGAACACGTGAAAATCTTATTCAAAACGGACACGTGAAAATTCGATTCAAAACGGACACGTGAAAATCCTATTCAAAACGTACACGTGGAAATCCGATTCCAAACGGACACGTGAAAATCCGATTCGAAACGAACACGTGAGAATCCTATTCAAAATGAATACGTGAAAATCCGATACGAAACGGACACGTGAAAAAACGATTCGAAACGGTCACTTGAACATACCATTAGAAACGGCCACATGAAAATCCTGTAAGAAACGAACACGTGAGAATCCGATTCGAAACGAATACGTGAAAATACGATTAGAAACGAACACGTGAGAATCCAATTCTAAATGAATACGTGAAAATCCGATATGAAACAGACACGTGAAAATCCGATTCGAAACGAACACGTGAAAATCCGATTCGAAACGGACACGTGAAAATCGGATTCGAAACGGACAGGTGAAAATCCGATTCAAAACGGACACGTGAAAATCCGATTCAAAACTAACACGTGGAAATCCAATTCGAAACGGGCACGTGAAAATCCGATTCGAAACAGATACGCGAAAATCCGATTCGAAACAGACACGTGAAAATCTGATTCGAAATGAATATGTGAAAATCCGATTCGAAACGAACATGTGAAAATCCAATTGGAAACGGACACGTGAGAATCCGATTTGAAACGAACACGTGAAAATCCGCTTAGAAACAGACACGTGAAAATCCGATTCGAAACGGACACGTGAAGATCCGATGTTGACTGTCCTCGTACTCATCTACTATTCATCTATTACTGTACTATCTACTGTATTTCTGTTACGTACTGTCATAGATGACATGAGTGGATTAACTCATTTGTGAATAAAATGCTTCATTTCATGATGTTATCCAGATTGGTGCTAAAGAGGCAATAAGGCAAGTGTCTTATTTCTAAAATCAGATGTCCGCCATTGAGGATGACAGTGTTCCATGTAAGTAAAATGTCACCTCCTTGAAGTACAAAGTGCTTGAGAAAAAGCTTTTTTTGTATAATTCAATGTTCACATGAAAGTGAGTAGTTGTTTCGATAAGGATTTTTCTTCCCGTTTGTGTTTGAAAAATTATCTCTTTGCATGATCTACACACATGTTAAAAGAACGTGTTTGCCACATATTGAATCAACATTAAGGCAAGAAAAAGCTGTTCGCTCGTTGGGTGCCGCGTTTGCTCACGTTAGACCAAAGAACTGTTCGAATGAACATTTCCAACGGTCTGTTGACGCAGTTTAGGCGCAATAAATCCAAGTTTTGGCGCCGATTAATTACTGTAGATGAAACTTGGATACGCCATTATACGCCCGAACAAAAATACAGTACAAACAGTGGACTGCAAAGAGGAAACCGGTTCCATAAAAAGCAAAAACTGTTTTTCGACTGGGAAAGTGATGGCGACCACCTTTTTGGAATAGTCATGGAATTATTTCAATCGATTATCATCAAAAATGAAAAACTATTAGAGGTACATACTACACATCATTACTTGACGAGCTGAAGGCAGAACTTGCGGAAAACCGGCCACATTTGCAGAAAAATGAAATCCTGTTTCACCAAGACAACGCACCGTCTCACACCTCAGCGGTTGCCATGGCGAAAATCCACAAACTGCACAACTATCCGCCTTACTCACCAGATCTAGCCCTAAGTGACTTCTTTTTGTTCCCTCATCAAAAAATTAAGCTTTGAAGACAGAGATTTTTGTCAAATGAAGAGGCAATCTCTTTCGTAAGAAATTATTTTGCAGAGAAAAACGCCGAGTACCATTTAGACGGGTTACAGAGATATGAGCATCGCTGGGAGAAATGGGAGAGTTATAAGGAGACCATTTTGAAAAATTAAAAAAAAAACTAAAATTGAAAAAATGTCTTGTATATTTGTTAGGAACAAAATTTCAATTTCAAACAGTCTACAATTCATTCTTTTATGAATCACTTTTTTCAAAATCATCTTTGGAACTTTAGAACTTGATAATTTATAACTATCGTGATGAAAAAGAAAGTAGAAATTCCTCATCTGGTAATGAAAACTGTGAAGTTGGCTACTGAAAATAATGGTATTGTTTCAGTGTGTAGGAAAAGTAATTTCCTTGTATTCATTTCTAGCCATGATTCCTATTTTATCAGTAACCATATCCTATTTCACTAGATTGTGAAGAATGAAGCTGATTTTTGAAAATAACTCTCAACAAACCAAAATGAATCACCCTGTATAACGTAGCTAGAGCATTTTTCATAACATTCTGATCCCGCACAACATCCAGGTCGGTAGGTGGAAAATTATGAGTTACAAGTTACAACATGCATGTGCAAACCCATAAATAATATTTCGGCAAAGATGTTCCATGAATTGCCACCTGTAGCGCTGCCAGCGTCTTCTTTCTCCAGTCGACTTCGACTCCCCATAATTTAACAGCAATTTGCTAACAAGTGGCATGCACCAACTGAACACAGCCCGAAGGACGTTGTTGTTGATATTCATTTCATTTGGTGAAATATTTTTGGCTGGATGCAAATTGAGAAAGGAGAAGCATTAGCGTAAATTTGAACCGAAAATTATTCGGGAAGCTCATATCGTCATCAACAGGTTCTATTTTCATTATTCGGTTAGTAGTTAGTTTGGAATGTTAGATAGTAATGACAGGATTTATGAATCCTTTTAGACAATCGACACAGCATGAAAACGTGCATCAATTTCAAAATTACAAAGTGTGAAATTTTAAACAAAAAGTAAATTGCAAAAATAATGTTCAAAAATGGATCACAGTAAATTGAAAAAGATCAACAAACTACCAAAACAATTAGTAAGAAATCCATTAAGAAAACTAGTAATATGAACAACCATAAAAGCTTTGTGTATAGACAGTATAGACTATCATAAATCTTTAGACAATGCTATCAGCCCTTATTAGGACAAATCACGAAGTTGGCGACACCTAGGTTTATTAATGTGAACATCAGCGATTGTGGCAACTCATACAGTTTACTGTAAGATTTTCACTGTAAATCCCTGACAGTAAACTGTATTAATGCTGAATTAATGTAAAATTAACTCGAACTGTATTCAAAATGTTGTACTCTCAGTGTAGATGGCGCCACTGCGCCTTTTTGTTGAGTTGAGAAACCACTGAAACCATATAATACTGATCTAGCAACTAGCTAAAAAACTGGAATGCCCTATTTGTGTTCCAGTACATGATCGCTCCATTATATATTTGTAATACAGGACACAGTATTTGTGGACATTGCAAACAGGCCACTCGTGTGGCCTGTTTATTATCAAGCTCGCATTGATAATAAAAAAAACTTCCTTTTGGAAGAGTTGGCTGAAAAATCCAAGTGAACTGTATGAATATGAATCTTGGTTGAGATTTTTTTGTAGAAATTAATTTAGTTAAAAACCATTAGGAGATTTGTAATCTGAAAGTTTAGTTTATAGTTGGTTGCCTCTAATGCCACAGTATCTGTATTATAGTTACGGAATACTGTGCTAATCAATACAATCACCTTTTTTTATGTTGGAAAACGACGTTTTTTCTTGTCATTTGTGTTTTTTTTGAATGAAAATTACAATTTTATTAGAATTTTTGCTATTAAAAACAACCCGAAACGCATATTCTGTACTTCCTGAATAATAAAAAGTGTGTTTTTTTCATTAATTTCTCTTCGAAATCCTAAATAATCGCATTTTTAAAGACTAGCCTACATATTCTTTCCAATAAAAGTCACCCAACCCTCGTCTATCCCAAAACCTACCCCAACCCAACTGAGGAGTGAAAAATTTTGGAATCCGAAAAATCCGGAAACACTTTTTCCTTTAGGCAAGAAATTACAAAAATGAGAAGTTGAAAAAAATTACAAAATTGAAGAAACTAAGAGAAAAGCTTTCCTTCGGTTATCGTAAAGGCGCGATTTTGTTCCATCCTTTACATAAAAGAGGACGTATGCTTCTCCACTCACAAGCGACTTTGGTGAAATTAGTGACACGTGTGAATCGTTGTATTTGTGCCACGCGCTAGTATACGGGTGTCTGCAGTATGCTGTATAATGTCCTCTGTTAGTAGTCCCACTGTGATTTAAAAGTGCATATACTTAGATTATAACAAGTACTTTATAAAATTGGTTTTCAGGAAACAAGTAAATTTCATCAAGTTTTTTGGAATCAGGGAGAGTACCGAAAAACGAAGCTGCATTTCCTCTTTGGATGGCAATACTAATTTTCTGTATGAGAAAAGATGTGGCTCTTGATTCGTGGGTTTCATCGGTTACCTTTTTTCCAATTTCATTGATGAAAGAAGGCTTCAGGGCCAAAAACACCAAACGTTTCAATAGCTATTGGGCGAAAGATATAATTATTTCCCAAAATCTGATATTTCCGTAGTTTGGAACTTTCTCCTAAAGAAGCAGCAGCACCGGCTTTCGCAGAAGTAGCAGGAAGATGGCAAGTTGCTAATGTATCTACACAAGTAAAGTCCCAAAGAATAGATTTACCATTTTTCCTACTGTTTGGACCCTCAGGAATCGTTTGTAATACGATTCGGATATTAAATCGCAAAAATTCGACATTTCACCAAGAGTGTATCTCGAAAGCGGTTATCGCTATCGTATTGTACGCCTCTTAAATAGCCTAATGCAACTAACTGTCAAATCGAATTGCCCCGGTGCTGTCAACCTAACCACCGTATAAAAGTATAGAAGTAAACACAATCTACCGACATAATTAAGGTTATGTCGATGACACAATCCAGCAACCTGTCAAAACGAATACAAATGGCGGCTTATGGCATACATTGTATGATATGCGACCATAGTAGCACCGTATAGATAGTAGTTATTGTTTTTTTGTGATTTCCTGTGAGTATTTCGGTTTGTGTTTTTAAATTATAATTTGTATTTTAGAATTATTAAAAGTTTATAATTTGTGCTTTAACTAAAGGGAAATGCCCGTTACGTGTATTGTGGTTGGCTGTGGATCTCGCAACAACAAAGATAAAATCGGGTTTTACTCTGTTCCTACAGTTTCAAAACACAAGTTTTTGACTGATAAAAATGAGTTATCCAAAAAGCGAAGAGCCCTATGGTTAGCTGCAATCAAGCGAGATGACCTCACAGATTCGAAGATCAAGTATCAAAAAGTCTGCAGCAGACATTTTATAACAGGTGAGTCTCTGAATACTTCAGGTCTCCACTGATAGCTAATTTGCGTTTACTGAAAACTACTTGATGATATACATATTATTTTCAGGCAAACCTGCTTCTTTAGAGGATGAAACTAATCCTGACTGGGTTCCTTCGCAGAACATGGGACATTCGGCACAAAATGTTCGAAAGACTGATAAAGAAGTTGAAAGAAAAGCGAGGTTGGATGGTCCATTTATTTTTACTTTTTCATTCTGTCAAAACTGTTATACACAATAAATGGAAGTTTTTTAAACTTTTTCCACCTATTTCAGTGATAATGAAGATTTGAATCAACTACCCCTGGATTCTAAACATCAAAAAAAGGAAGAGATACCTTCAGTTTTTCAACGCCTTTGTATGATTTGTTTGGCCACCAAAAGGCTAATCCGCTCAACTAAATCATTGGTGGACCTATATGTACACCTCACAAATATTGAGGTAAGATTTGGTGTAATTGGAATGATGATAATATTTCATGAACATTGCAATTGTTTGCACAATTCACAAGAAATGAAAGCAATAAATTACTCAAAATTTTTTCCAACCAAATTCAATGCTTGTTTAGATATTGTTAATATATGCGGTACAGCTTAAAAAAGGTTAAAGGTCTCTGAGGATCACCAACGTTGATAATAAAAGTATCCAAAAGAGAAACAATATCAACCAATCATATAACGTCTTGAAAGTCATAACATTGAACTTTAGTTAGTAAACCCTTATACTAAACAAGACCGAAGGCCTTACCCATAATTGTTCATTATTGTTCTATCACACACGAGTGGATCCTCTACTACAACAGGAGACTTTTAGGACACTGATTAGACACCAATGAGCCACCCAGGCACTTTCCAAAGGCAAAAACCCCCCAAAAAAAGATGGTTACCGAATGGTGGTCAACGCCTGGTGTGAGTCACTATATTAACAAAATGTATCGAAAATTGCGTCAACAGCAGCCGGCATTGGTCCACTGAAGAGGTCTGATCCTAGTCCACGACAACGTTTGTCTGCACCTTCCACAAATCACCGCCCGAAAGTTGAACGTCAAAGTTCTGCCTCACGCACAATACTCCCCTGACCTCTTGTCAACCAACTACCATCTTTCCAAGACCTTTGATAACTTTCTCACCAGTAAAATATGCGCCAATCAGAACCAGCCTTCGTCTAATTCATCGAATCCCGAGATCACTCAATTTTTATTCTGATGAAATGAATTGACTTGTTACGTTGGCAGAAGTACACTGATTTAATTGAATAAGTATTCACTGAGATATTACAGTTTGTAGTAGAATCATAAAAACGGACAAAACTATTGAAATAACCTTATACTTGGCCGTATGTGTAGGACCTAATCTAATGAATACATATATATGTAATTGGTTCTTCTGTTTGTATGCGCCATAAATACATAAGTTTTTTATCTTATTTTGCAGGTGGAAGATGGAGATGTGTTTTCGAAGTATATGTGTGAAGACTGCATCCAGAAGCTTAAAGATATTTCAAAATTCATTCTTATGGCAAAAAAAAATGATGAAAAGCTCAAACAAAAGCCTTTGGATAATGAGGAAATGAAAACTTCAGTTAATGATGATGAAGAAACTTTGGATGGTGAAGAAAAAAATTTGAGTGAAGAAATATTGATGATTGAGGTTGAAAAGTCAGAAAATGAGTTGATCGAGAAGGATAAAGGTATTAATAAACAGCTATCAGTTCAAATAAGAAAACTTTATTCCAAATGCAGTTGGTTTCATTTTCAGATATTTACAAAGATATAACTTGTTGGAAATGTGGAGTTCTCCATATTGGGGTTAAGTTTCCCAAAATCATCGCCTATGAACCACCCAATAATATAAAATTTCAGTGTCTGAAATGTTCTGAAATTGAAAACCGTCCTGACAAGAAACCACCCGATGTCATGAACCTTGAAAAATTGACTAAGGAAGAAAAAAAAATCAGGTAGTAATAATCTCATTTCACTAGATCATTTGAATAAACTATGAATAAGGCGGGTCTCAAAATTGACCCTTGAAGTACTTCAATTACCTTTCAAAGTACCTGTAAACCTGAAGATTAATGGCAAAATTTGCGTCTTTAAATTTGAAAACACTTTTTCTAGAATTTGTTCAACCGCTTTCACTGCTAAATTATTTGAGAGTTTCTCAGAAAAAAAAGAACAACTTCATCAATATTTACTTCAAAAAAGTTTCGCATCACTTGTTTATTTAACATATGTGGTTCCTAGGTAATGAAATAACTAAAATAACAATCAATAAAACTTCTGGTAAAACCAAAACTTTTCTGACGATGTGTACAATTCCTGATATTGATTTCCTTCTGCAGATGTAGTATATGTTTGAAGAATATCCCCTTGAGCGATGAAACATCGACTGAAAGAACATAGAATGGAAAAACGGTTTCGATGCACAGAGTGTTTTTTGAGTTTTTCCAATCAAAGGCTATTGAGAAGACATTCAAGGAGGCACATCTGATCGCAAAGTGAGTATTTATATGTGGGCATGCACAGACACAGAAGGTTTTTTTAACATTCAGTTCTGAGTCACAAACACACAAGTGATATAAGTATGTAGAAAAATACAGCGAGAAATACCAATTACTCAGTATTGTTTTAAATGTAATTTCCAATTGAATTATATAAACATTTCGGGGAATATTTACCAACTGAATTATGTGCATTATAATTTATTCATTTGTTTTTATCCACAATACAAAATGGCAGGTCTAAACTTTATTGTCCATAGACTTGATATGTTCCCCCGAGTAAAGAAAGGTACGATATTGGGAAAAATGTTACCAGGGCATAGCTGTTAGCAACTGGTTTCTTCAAATATTGTAGATACGTTATTCAGGAAAAGGAAATTCAGGGAGAATCTTATTAAATCTTTGACTTTTCAAAAATACATGGATTCAAAGTTTATTGTCCTTAATCAAAACCTATACTTTTTGTCTTCCATAATTTCCATTATCTTGATGTTTCTCTTTAATTAACAGTTTCATAAGGCCATATGGTTTTATTAGACAGGAATATTACTAACAATAAGGTTGAAGGTTAGTTTTATGCAAATTTAGAGGGGTATATTTCAGGAGAGATTAGTTTTAGGGAAAAAAGCTTTTTGGCTTTCACTTCTCCATCTTTATAAAAAAAATTGTGGGAAATTTAAAAAAAAAATGAAAGCAATTAGGTTCAAATAAACTCTTTATAAAGATGTGTGGTTCATGCATAGAAATTACTTTCAGATACAAATTAGGAGAAACAACCCTCTTGAAATAACTACTTTCATATGAACATTGAATTATATGACAATCACTTCTTCCTATTCAGTTTGTACTCCAAATGTTCATTATGGATTTGAATCAGATATCATTCATAGGAAAGTTACACAATATAATATATGAAAGAGATACTTGTCTTATTATCTCATCAGCACTCATTTCATTCATAATGTGAACGTGAAGACATTCATATTCTTATTTGATTTAATACCATTTGTTTATTATGAAAGGGGTATATTTTTGAAGGCAGTTGTTTTGAAAAAATTTTTTTTATTTCGTAACTCAATGCTTTTTCTTCAGTTTGTATCTGAATAACTTCTATGTATGATCCAGACATATTTGTGAAGAGATTATTTTGAATTAAATTGCTTTCTTTGTTCCTTTAAAGTTTTCCAGAAAATATTTTGTATAAAGAAGTGAGAGTCAAAAAAAATTTCAGTTTTAAATGCACTGTACTTTAGTTCTCATTCTTTCCAACATTCTTTAGATGCACAATTAATTTTTCTTTTTTCAGGCAAGCCTAAAAATGAAATGTGAAAGATGAAAACCATTCTTAATTATGATGGTAAACGGAGTTGGTCAAAGAAGCAAGAATAAATTGGAAGATATGTTGATCTCACTGAAAAATTGCACCAGTTGAAATGTTTATATTTTGGAGGTTTCGAGAACAGGAAAATGTTTTTAATACGAGTTTTCGACAAAAAATAAATATAATAAAACACGGGGCATTTGTTCATTGTCAGACGTTGTTTTTTGTTATCTATTTTCCAAAATTCAATTCATTTATAAAATTTTTCAGCATGAAGATTTGGTGTCTGTGGGGCATGTAGTGTAAAATTTTCAAATATTTTTTTTGCTTTATTCCCAATTGAAATATTCTGTTTCTCAGAATAAATTAACAAAGTTTTTTTATTACTTTTTGTTGAATAACTGAAACATTTAGGAATGTCTATCATTTACATGGTCTATGTATAATTTTAATGTTCTTCATGGGATCAAAATATTTTATTTAACAAATTTCAAGACAAGACAAAATATTCGTAGAGTAAATTTCAAGGTAGTACTACTCTTTTTAAAGAATCAAAGCATAAATATCGAAAATATATAACATTTAAAAAGCTGAATAAAGTGTCATGTCAGATGTAAACGCCCACGCAAGGTGTAACTGCCAGGGAAAGAACTTTTGCTTGAAAATTGCTTCTTTTTGTTCCCCAACGTCAAGAATAAATGCGGTGGCCAATTTTTATTGGCAGAAAATACCGTTGATACCGTGATTCGAATGCATGCAAGAGGGTATACCTACACTATGAAGAATATTTTCATAAATAAAGTTTTTTCAATTATAAATTAACTATATTCTATTATAATTATTATGCTCAAAATATAGAATCCATTGTCAATCTATCTAAAATATCTATGTAGGTATAAAATGTAAAACAGATGTAAATATATTTTCACTATGTGAAAAAATTAGTTTGGCTCCTTATCATGTCTTTAGAATTTTGATAATAGAGTGAAACCTTGAGATGTGTATTGGTCTATTCAATCAATTTTATTTCATTTAAAATCTTATCGTAACTTCACAATTCGAAGAAATATATACTACTTTAGATTATAGGTACTGTACAAACTGATTATCTCCAATATTTTTTTACTTTGAGTGATAATTGAGGCCCTCCAGGGAGTCAAATCTCAAAGTTACTAATAATGGTAATGAAATGATATTTATACTCACATATTTCTTCAAATATTGAATTGAGTAGAATGATGTACATATTGAAGGTATGAATTTGAAAATAATGAACTACCAATCCTGGATATTTTAGTTAAAAGAAACACCGATAAAGATTGCGAATTTGATGTACAGGAAGAATACTAGCACTTTCAGATATATCCCTGACGCTTCCACCTTTAACCATAACACAAAAGACTGAGCATATTTTTTAGTCATATTCCTCTTGAATAAAGGAAGATATGATACCGAGAAAAAAGTTATCCAATGAGTAACAAGAATCCTTCAAAGATAGTGGATAAGTTAATTAGGAAAAGAGTGTTTTCCTAAATCCTTGACTTTTTAGAAAGACGAAGATTCAAAAATTATAGTTCTTTTATAAGAAACAAAATACTCCAACGGTCTGGCTCAAATTTTTGAAATTTTGAATATGAAAGTGGCTTTCAAAACTGCTAGTATAGTTTGTAGTTTGAAATTTGAAAATTTTTGAATTTCTAATTAGTTTTGAATTACTGAGAAACGAATTAAATGCAAATTTTTCAACTACAATAACAATCATATCTATTCGTGATAAATGTGAAACGCATTTTATTTTCCGCTAATCTAATCTCAGTTGATAGAGCTCATTAAATTTATTCTCCACATAGTCATTTCATTCATGTTGTGAGTGGATGCTAGTGGGTTTTTCTTAGTTTCAAGTTTAATTTCAAGAAAATGGAAAGAATACCCCAATCAATGACTTTATCGAATACAAATTTGAAGAAACTGAAGTGTTCAGTTTGTAAAGGATATTTATCTGTTTCGCCTGTCGATCTAACACAAGGAGTTTGTGGCCGTTGTAATATATCTAAGAAGAAATCTGAAGCATATGAAGAACTAACTCAGTATTTTTATTCCCTTGTATATAGGGAATAATATATATATACCTACTTAAAGTGTGATGAGAAAAATGTTTGGGGAAAAACCGAAGAACATGAAAGGAATTGCATTCATAAAACTTTCCTTTGTCCAGTACAAGAATGTAATGAGATATATGAAATACAGGCAACAGGTAAACATTTTCGGGAATGTCATAGACAATTGCAATACGATAACAACACCATCAAAAATTTATTCAGCTTTTGGGCATCAATCCTATTATACTCAAAACAATGGGATTAATGATAAAAGAGTTTACCATATTAGGTTTATGCAGCACAGTCTTCTAGCTTTCGCTTATGGTACTTACCATAGAAATTCCATTCGTTACAACAGTCATTCTAATATGAGATATTGTTTCGGTGTTTTTGCAGTAAATTCCCATTTCGAAAACAATATCAAATTTGAAGTAACACTTAGCATAAAGACTGAAGAATCTAAAATGGTTTCATACGCCCAAAAGAACCAGAATATAATACCCTTTGATGAAAGGAACCACTGCTTTAGATGTATGGACACCGGAATATGACCTGCCAATTATTACCATAAAAAGGGAAATGCATTCCTTTCTGTCAGTTTCAATAAAGTCGATGAAGGCAACTGCCAAAGTATGTCATATGAAATAGATATAACATCTAGTGAAAAAGTTGAGAAACCACTGAAATATAATACTGAAATAGCAAAAAAACTGGAATGCCCTATTTGTGTCCAGTATATGGTCGCTCCAATATATATTTGCAATACAGGACACAGTATTTGTGGAAATTGCAAAAAAGCTACTCGTGTATGTCCATATTGTAGAGCTCGCATTGATGATAAAAGAAACTTTCTTTTGGAAGAATTGGCTGAAACCATCCAAGTAAACTGTATGAATATGAATCTTGGTTGTGAGTTTTTTGGAGAAATTCATTCAGTTAAAAACCATGAGGAGGTTTGTAGTCTGAAAATTTAGCCACAGCATTACAACCTGTTTGTAATAATTTCTTTATAAACCTGATGAGAACTTTGAAACATTATTTGATTAAATGGCTGAATAAATAATTTCTTGGATCCTTATTTCTTATAGGTAAGCCAAGTAAGTTTGTTCAGTGATGACGCTGGTATTTCCTTGACAATCCAGTGAGCTTATTGGTATCTGGTATCCTTTACTCAAGTACGGAATTAATGTATTGACACTTGTAACAGCAAGAATAACTGAATAAAAACTAGTTACTAGTGGCGTTTTTATATGCCAAGTCATAATTAACCACAGTTCATGTTTCAATATAAGGAACGTTCTCGATGGCATTTGGTTCTGGTTCATCAGTGGTTGACTTGAAAGTGACTGCAATTTGGAAAGCAGTTGGATTTCTGAACCACTTTTTGTGTACATTTCATGACGTAGTAATAATTATTTAAAGCAATTTACAATGTACTGGTGAACATCGCCATTTATATGAGAAACATTCGTTTTACAAATCTAAGTCACAGTTTTCTGTAACTCAAGGAATACCTCCACCTTTCATCCACACAGTATTCCGTAACTTAAGGAATACTTTAAAGAATACTGGCTACGTTACTACATTTACCATTAGCCCAGTGTTGCCAACTAATCGGAGGCGCAAGTTGCTACAAGAATAAGGGCCCGTTTTAAAACTTCGACTTAAAATACGATTGGAATTTAAACTGTGAATTTGACAAGAATGCCGTTTTATAGGTTCCGATCAAGGAAAATTTTTGGTTTCACCTCTGACCACTGTAGGTTGACGTTACCGAAAGTTTCCTGTAGCGCGCAAGTATACTGCCACAAATATTCTGATAGGTTGCTAATGAGATACTTTTCTATGCATCAGGTAAACAAATTACTACCGATGAAGAAAAGGTGAACAAATGTCTGAAGTCCGAACTAGTAAAATTCACCATGAAACATTGTCAACCACTTTCAAATAGTGTTACTACCTATATCGAAACAATGACCAAGAGTTCATATCGCTATCGCACATTAAGGATGATTCGAAGAATTTTGAATTGTGTTAGAGAATTTTGGAAAATTTAATCAAGAAATTGAGTAATGTGATAATTTTCGTTTTGCAACGCTGAACTTCTGTGCTATCCATCCACAGAACTCGTAAACTCATATCTTAATGTCTGATTTATAAGTGTATGATATATTCAAGACACACATTATGGCTGCTCATCGTTTGAGGTTCAACTCAGTACACCTTGAACTTCACTGTTCAAGAACTCTTTCATTTGGAGAACTGCGTTTATGTGGAATAGATTTCCTGAAAACGTTTTTCCAAATGGATTTAATCTCCAGCGATTCAAATGCAATGTGAATCACTACTTTCGCACAGGCATCGCTCTTAGAGTGCCTAAAGGGTTTTCCTGTAATGCTTGCGTGTTTTGTACTTGAAAAAAAAACAGTTTTACGAAAACACGACGTGTTTCGTTATACAGTAGCTTCTTCAGGCGTGTCTATACTATAATTCAGGCGTGTCTATACATGTAGACCTGCCTAAAAAAGCAATTTACAGTGAAACACGTGTTGCGTTTTTGTAAAATTGTTTAGTGAAAATGTCACAATGAAATGTTTATTGAATATGTTATGAGGAATTTTTATCAAGTATCGTTCGATTCCATCACATATCATAAGTTTATGAGTTCTTTGCATCCATCCCCATACAATGTCTAACGGATGATTATTAGTGGTTCGGACAATGAAGTAGGGAATATTTGAATATTCCATGTTGCACATACGCAATTATGAAATTTTTCATTTTATGTTATGTTTGAATGTACAATCCTTTTTGCTAACATAACCTTATTCTTTATCCTTATTCCATCTATACTTTCAATATTTGTAATTACCAAATAATTTTCATTTTCAAAATGTAAATTTCATATACCTATAGTATATGAAATATCATCGAATTGACCTTAAGTGATGCGACCACATGGTTGCCAACAGCGGTAAAATAATGACATTTGACATTCGCTAATAAATAAATAACCTATCTTTCTGAGTTCCTCCTGCATTTTCATTTTTGGGACATAATTGAGACAGACCATCAGATTTGTTTTGGCTATAAGGAAATGATGGTCTGTATCAATTATGTCCCAAAAATGAAAATGCAGGAGGAACTCAGATAGATAGGTTATTTATCCATTAGTAAATGTCAAATGTCATTATTTTACCGTAGTTGGCAACCATGGGGTCGCATCACCTAATAAGGTCAATTTAATTTTTGTTGGTTTCAGTGGATTTTTTATTCCTTCATATAGTCGTAGTGTAACTTATATTTAATAAACTATTTTTTTATAAATGAAATTACAATTACAAACGAAAAAACTAAAAATGAATGACAATGCCTCAACTACGGAAACATGAATTTTTCTGTATTGCTTTTTGATTTGTGGGAAATATTTTGCAATTGTAGCGTTCTGCGCATTGATTTTGTAACAACTCGGAACGGTTCTCTAACATTCGAAATTCAGATATGCAGAACCCAAAACCAACCTATTAGCACTACCACCGTATAGATGTTATTTCGAAAAACTCATCAGCTTCCTGTTCTTCATTTGTGTCGATATCGGTTATTCATTTTCTCCCTAAAAATATCCTAAAAAAATGTCCTCCCCAAAAATCCCCATTTTCAAATTATATCCCCTAAATTTAGGGGGAAAACCCCCTGGTTGGCATCACTGAACCAGAGAACTGTCAGCTGGTCGTTATCAAATCGAGTTTTGTTTGTTATGCTTCAAGGTTAAAGTGTTTTATTTTACCTTTCAAGATTTTCAAAATAGTTTTATATAAAAGACAATGTCGAAAATAAGTAATGTAAATTGTTGTGTAGATGGCTGTTACGGTAGAAAAAGTAAAAACCCTAATCTTTCATTTCATAAGTTCCCCCTGTACCTATCTGATAAACAAGAATTTTCAAAAAAACTTAAGAGAAATAGGGCTTGGATCCAAGCTCTAAAACTGCGAAAACCTATCTCCAAATCATCAACGGTGTGTTCATTACATTTTATGAAAGAAGATTTCATACTACCAGGTAAGATGATTTTAAAGTATTTCGATAACTGTCTTTGAATTCAATACAGATCCCTTTTTAATTCATGCTCCCTATAACCCTACTTAATGCAACTGCAACTTCCATAAAAACCCAAATTATTTTTTACTATATTTGTTTTAAACAAACATACTTTTGTGCCATTTGCTACTTCAGGGTAGATTGATTAAACTCACTCTAAATAAACAAACTGAAATAAAGCATTAATATAACTCAAAATCTTGCCCAACATGAGATTGGGTAGGTTTTACTGCATGGGTCAAAAATTTCACCCTCAGGTCACTTTGCGCAGAGATACTTTTATATACAGTAATCACTCCCAGTAACCCTTTCATAAAATTCTTTATTTCTGTGAATGATTTATGATTCAATTACTTTACAGATATTTGGAGTCCTATCTGAATGAGAAAAAGTGGTTTTCAAGTTATTCAATGTTTATATCTTCAAAAATAATTGTTTCGGGTGTACTCTTTTTTCCATTTTGTATCTGTGTTGCATTGAAAATACTAAAAATGGACACCTGTCTAAATTTTTGCAATGTAATTATTTTCCATTTCCATTGGTATATTTTTTAATTAATCAAGTTGCAGAAACATATTTTCTATATTTAGTATTTTGTTTAAAAGTTTCACATTTTGAGATATTCTCTTTTCTGAACATTTTGAAAACACATTTGGATGGCCAAACTCAAGACAATGTAGAAAAATATCAAAATTGAAATTTTCACTTTTGAATCATAGTTTCAACGAAACTCCATTTTGTATAATGTTTAGCACTTTCATCTTGACAAAAAAAAACAAAATCATGAAATTGTTTATTTCAATATCATTCAGTACAGTTTCAGAACATTTATTCAAATCGTATTTCAAATTCTCAACATATTTCCTGTATACATAAAAAAATGCTTTATATTCCAGAGTCAGTAAGGTAACCAAAAACTAGTAGACTTTGCTGTTTAAAATTAGTATGATAGACATATCTGTCGCTACTGATATCACTAGTTCCATTAATTATATACATCTTGATTGGAACATTACCATCATCGTATCAGTATTCTTTGTGATACTTTTGAAAATGATTATCTATTTCCTGCATTTCATAGACTTTATTACAATAATTTACCGGGTATGGCAAAGTTTTAGGAATGAATGCACTCTTGATCATATTTCTTAACTTTTCCCCAATCAATTTCTTTATTAAACATGGGATATATACATGGAAACAAATATGCTTCTGACCTGCAGTTAGATGTATTACAACGGCCACAAACTGCTCGTGTTGGATCAACAGGTGGAATAGATACGTATCCTTTACAAACAGATCATAATAGTTTACTCAAACTTTTTTACCTATGGTCACTGGTTTGCTTATTTTTTTCATGCTCTTTTTCTAAATAACTTCTCTCAAAAAAACGACTCGTTTTATCAATGCATCCAACCGTGCACAGAAAAAACTACTGATGTGTTATTGATGACTACAGTTAACGACTAAAGGCCATTTGACTACTTGAATATTCACTTGGAAATTATTCTAACTAGTGACAAGCCGAATTGGGAATCACCAATGCCCGCGTGTGCTAGTGCCTACAGACCACAACCAACTCGCATGAATTCTCTAGGATCAAATAAAAGCTAATAATGTGAATACCGATGAAATGTCTTTCAAATTCCATTTTCATTAGTTGAATCTAGCTTCAGCTACATTAGGTTGCAGATTATATTTTGTTTTATTAACAATTATATTTGAGGAGACCATTTCTGCAAGGTGTTTACTTCTATGATAATAAAGAGGTACGTTTTGTACTGAAATTACTAGGAAATATTAAGTTTGTTATTGAAAACAATCTTCGAAAAATGAAGTATATAAATGGGGTAGTTTGAGCGCTTGTAAAGCCGGTCAGTTTAATTTCTACAAACTATCGTTGTACATCTCTTATACCGAATATAAGGTGTTCATGCGAAGACTGAGGTCTTTTTCTGCCCTAAAACATGCATCTGCACTCGAAGAACAAAACTATACTCAACTCAGGATCTCAAAAAAAAAATGACTCAATCAGCATTAAGTTGTTTTATTGAATATGAAGGATCATACACTGCAGTAAATAATAATAAAGAAATTTATAAGATAGATTAATTAGAAAATGTATGGTCACAGAGTGAGTAATTTAGCTATTGGCTTATTAATAACGCCCTTAACTATGGACACAACCGTCTTGTTTAAAATTTAACAAACAATAATATATGTTTCCAGTTAAGCGTTTTCAAAAATTCTGGTTAGTAGCAGTTAGAAGTGGTTATTTTTGAAACATCCTTAATGTACGGCATTTATTAAAAGTTACTGAAAACATTTTTGGCAACACTGGACCAAACATTTAAAAAATTTGACACCTGTCAATTGCTGTTGTATTTTCTTTTTCAAAACGTTCAAATAAGCAATTTTGATATCGTTTATCTAACTGTAAAAATTATGTCACAAACCAGCACAGTTTGCAATACATCCTGCTGCTTGGATGGATGTTCCAGTAGTAGAGCAAAAAATCCTAACCTTTCATTTCATAAGTTCCCTACAAAAAACAAATCGTCTGTATACATTGTTAATGAACAAGGACTTCGAGAAAAAGTCGACAGATATAAGGCTTGGATACAATCCTTGAAATTGCGAAAACGTATCACGAAGACTGCAACAATATGTTCATTACATTTCACAAGAGATGATTTTATACTACCAGGTAGGGAAGTTTCGACTTAATGGTTAGCTATTAGGATTGTTTCAAACGTTCAGAGAATAGTCGTCAGCTACATACTCAACATGATCTTGTGTAAATATTTTCCTTGTACAACTGACTTATTTGGAGCATTTGCCAGTAGGAAAAACTATAAATCATTCCAATATATCTAACAGATTAGTTTGTTCAAGTTATATTGTGTTGAATTAGATGAAATGGAAGTAATTATTAATTAACACACTTTTGAAGATTCTGGTCGGCATTTCAAATAAATGGTTTAATCCTGCTGGTTATGTGTAATGGAATTGATCAATACTTCATGAAAATTCGTGATAAACGTAAACTTCATTATGATATTTTCACTAAATAGTGTACAAAGCTGCAGCATGTGTTTCACCATCAATAATGAACACACCCAAAAAAACTATTTTACAGCAAAACAAATGTAATTTTGTAATACAAACTCTTCAAATGAGTTTGTAAAATATTTAAAAAAAGTCTAATGCCAAAGGTATTTCAATGAAATTACTCCTTCATATCAAATTTCCAATGGAAGCTCAATGTGACATGTACTGTCGACTGGTTATCATAGTGTACATTTTTGTCTATATTAATATTTTCAGTTAGATTTAATTAAAATGATTTTAGATTGTCCATCGCAAAAACCTAGGTTGAAGAACACTGCAGTGCCGCATTTGAACAATCAAAATTCATGGATAAAACGTAGTGTTGTATATAGAGGACCTGGAAAGAAAAATGTTATTAATAGGAAAGGTAAATATTCAGTCTATAAATTTCAAATATTTTCATTTATTCTATACCTTCAAGATAATCTCTACAATCAACTGACTTTTAATAACTTGTCAGATTTCTGAAAAATATTGAATTCTAAATTTAAAGTTCAGTGTTTCCGGAGGAGATACAGCTGAAAATATCTCGTTTCGATATTTTTAGATGTATTTCTGGAGCAGCTTATACTCCCCTTTATAAAATTATCACACACAAAAATTACTGAAAAGTTTAAATTTTCCAAATAATATAAATGATGGTTTTGTTTTTGTTTCCATTATAATGAAATGATGAAATAGTTCAATTCAAAAACAAACATTTTTACTGAGAAAAAGTATGCACTGAAAAAAAATATTTCAAAATTGACATCGTTGCTCTAACAATTGAGCAGCAAAAGGAATAAAATCTGATAACATTCTCTACTTTTCTTTTTTCTGACAATATTATCATTCAGACTGCTCTGGATAGTATTAAACTTTCAGTCAACTCTTGTGAATGTCACGTTCAGTTCAATACATTGGGAATTTATTTTTTGGTAGTACTGACTACCAATCTCTAGCTAATTTAAAATTAGTTGATTATCTCACTTCCCCAACACTTTCAGTGGGTGATTCAACATCAAGAAAACGTTTGAAAATGAAAAATGTCTCCAAACAGATGGATGAGTTCAATGCCAGGAAAACAAAACATCTTTTAAAGTAAGTGCGTCAAGTAATTTGAAATTAGAATATTATATTCCTTTTCTTTTTAACAGATTTCCTGAATATTCCAGGAAAATTTCAGTTGATGGAAGCAAAGGAACTGTTAATCAACTCGAACGTATCTATGCTAATGAACCGGAAGTGAAAGATTTCGAAAAGGACAATAAATTTGAAGTATTATATCTGACTCCAGTGAAATTTGAAAGTTCAAGATATTCGGATGAAGAAACAAGCAGCAGGTTAGTAATTTAATGAAAGAAAGTAACCAGTCTTTTAACCTCTGTTCATGCTTCTCCTTCTAGAACATTCATTTTGGTTTTGAAACTGTCAATAATTTTGTGGTCTTATATTTTCTTTCATATCTGATAAATATCACATAGCATCTTGGATACTTTAAGTGATTTTGGAAGACTTCATTGAAGGTCAGATATTTGTAAAATGTTGTATACTAGTTGGGAGTTACCCGTGAATGAATCAATAGATAAGTAAATATTGTTTGGTTGAAATATCCAGAAAACAATTTTTCCCACACAACAAAACTGTACGCTCCCAATTTTCATAGCTACCTGATGAGCATCACACTAGAATATAAATATCGAGTTTAAAAAAATATGTTTCAGTAATAGTGAGATGGAAAATGAAGAAATGGATGATAAACTCTCCTCGGATTCTGAGCATCAAGACAATGAAGAAGTGACTCTAGATTCTCTTCAAATTTGTCGAATTTGTTTGAAGACCAGAAAGCTGATCTCTTTAATAAAACTCCCTTCGTTGGTAAATCTATTCATAAACATCACACGTATTAAGGTAAGATTCATATTTTGCTGATTTATAAATAATGTTGGAATCAATACTACACACAACAGATTTCTTGTTTTTAGTGATGATATAAAAGTCTCAAAATTATTATTTTTTTACACAGGTCTGTTTAAATTCGAGTCTTTGCAGTAGTGTTTTCACAAAAAGGTTTTTTTTTTTAATAAACCGTTTTTGTTTTTCAAACTATTCACCTCATTCACTTTTGCATGAATACAAACAAATTCCCGATATGAAGTTGATATTTCAAAAACATGTTTTGAAAGGACTTCAACAGGTTTTTGAACTGATAATGAAAATCACTGCCCATGCATCAATTTGATATTTCTTCCTTGAATCAATTTATAAAATAAAAAAGGTTTATTGATTACATGGGCAGATTTGTAGCAGGTACTATCTGAAAAGTCGACAGTTACCTTAAATTAAAATAAACAATTTGTTGTATACCATTCAGTAATAACTGTTCTTCTTTATACGAAAAATACTAACCATTCAACCAGATCACTATTATAAATAATTTTTGTTGTATTTACTTTATCGTTCGAAATACAAACAGAATAGAGAAAAATGTTTTTCGTATAAAAGTATTTGTTTCAGAAGTTTTTTTTTTCTTCATGTAATTCAAAGTTTATTTGAAAATAGCTGTTTCGATATGGTTTTTTCTTCCAGTTTGTGTCTGAAAGTTACTTCTTTGCATGATCTGCACATATTTCTATAGAGTTAATTTTTTGAAATCGATTCCTTCCTTTTTTTGGAAGATTCCCAAATTTTTTGTATCAAGATGGAGAAGTAGAAGGCCAAACACTTTTTCCCATTGTCATTAATATTTTATATCGTAAGTGTATATTGACATAACTCAACTTTGTCAGCAACAAATTACTGTTTATTTTGACAATAAAGTTTTTCTCTTTCATACATATTTATCCCTTTGATTTCTAAATTGTGTTACTGTGACAATTCAATCTAATCCTCAGGTAGAAGATGGAGATGATCTACCGAAATACATGTGTTCAGACTGCATACAAAAACTTGATGATATTTCAAAATTCATCAACATGGCTAGGAAAAGTGATGAGGATCTTAAACAGAGCTTGTTTGATAATTACGAAAGAAAAAGTTCAGTTGATGTTGATGAGAAAATATCGATCACTGAAGAAGGTAATTCAAAAATATCACAAAAAGTAATGGTTACTGATGATACAATAGATACAATCGAGAGTCCACAACCGAGTGGGAGGAAAGAAAATATATTGATTGTCAAAAAAAATGAAGGTATTGTTAACTTCCGTTGATATATTTCAACTATATATAGTTTACTTGCAGATATTTACAGAAATTGTACTTGTTGGAAATGTGGAGTACTTCATGTTGGCGTTAAGTTCCCAAAACATCTATCTGATGTACCACTCTATAAAATAAAATTTCAGTGTCGAAAATGTGCACTGTTCAGATCGAGTCCGAATAAAAACCCATCCGACGCGAGAGAAAGTTTTAGTCCAACAGTATTTCCTGATATAGAGCCCAATAATGAAGATAGAAAACTCAGGTAATAGCAATGTCTTACCTAAAATTAAGTAGTTTTTGTTTTTCATTAAGTTTTTGTAAACATTCCAGATTGATAATAATCTGTAGCAAGTAAATAATGAGTATTGAAAGGTTTTTGATATATGTGATGAAAATCTATAATGTATTCAAGAAAAGCAACACGTGTTTCGCTATACAATAGCTTCTTCGGGCTTGTCTAAGATCTACATATTCAATGCTTTATATATATTTTTACAATTTTAAGTACCTGAGTTTTACATATGTTCATCCCATTTCAATTTTGGATCAAGATACACACCTAGGAATTTCGCACTTTTCAATGAGTTTTCGTAATCATTAGTGTTTTTTAATGTAGAGATCATATTTTGTGTTTTACTTTTGTTAACAAAAAGTTTATTTGTATCGAACCATTTTTCTGCTTTTGTCTGTGCTTCACTCGATCTATTCACAACATTGGTCATAGTTTTGGAGGTAGTTTTGGGCATGAGCCCCAAGTCTATCCGACAATGCTCAAATTATCATTTGTTCTATAAGCCACGTCCAAGCATTTTTTTTTTTAGAAACGAGCGATATTATTTGTGAGTTCACCAAGATAAGACGTCCTATAGCAGACGTTGTCTGTTCAATCACGACTATGAGATGTTACATTCAGAAGAGAAAAGTTTGAAACTCAATCTTTCAAAATGTTTGAAAATGAATTGAGTTAAGAATTCGTGTTAATTACTGAATGACCAAATAGAATTGAATAACTTCCCATTTCTGAATCTTTTTGATAATAACTTCCCGTGCCATGTAGGCACAGATATTCGCGGTGCTATCAGCCATGTAACGTAGCAAAACCAATCCACCTTCAACTAGATGAATTCTCACTAAAGTCGAACTTTTTTCTCTGCCTTGTTTGATTGTGACGAAAATAAATTTTTAATTTCTAATTTCACCGCGTGCATGTTATTTTTTTCATTATTTTTAACTGCTTGTGCCTTTTTAGTTGTTTTTTCATTTGAATATATAAAAAAAATTCATTCTACAGATGTGCACCTTGTTCAACGGATTTTCCCTTGAGTGAATATGCGGAACACCAAGCAAAAGAGCATAAAACGAAGAAACGGTTCAGATGCCTGAAATGTTTGGCTGCTTTTTCTGATCCTAATTTATTGGTACAGCATTCAATTAAACATACATAAGCAAAGTGAGTAGTAGCTTTCATGACTCGAGTATATTTTGTTTCATTTCAATATATTATAATAGTTGATGAGTTTGTGTTTCAAGTTAAAAAAATATCTTGAGCTGTCAGTAAAATTGGCAGTTACCAATTTCGAATGGATTTGACCCAGAATTGGTTTTTCTTAATTGGATTACCTGACCTTGTATGCGTGCTATTAAGGACAGGTAGCCAGATTTCATTAATGTTCATTTCCTCTTTTCTATTAAACTTATTTCTGTGCTTTTGAATTTCTGTTGCCCCTCTATATAATCTTGGACAGTAATTTTGAGTTTTATCGAATATTACTGTATCTTTGAATGAGTACCTTCTTTGTTGAGAGCATGTTACAGCTACAGCTGATTTGTCGGTTTGTCACAAGAATATTTCATCATGTTGTTTTGAAAATATCTTGAGAATTGGAGTAATTTTTAAATATTTTTTATTGCAGATTTGTAACTGATATTGAAGTATCAAGCGTATGAAGAGGAATTTTATGTTGAAGTTTATATGAAGTTTGAAATATGGTTCAAAGAAAAGTGAAATATTCTATAAATTGAAAAATATATTTTAGAACGTTATGAGTATCGAGAGCATGACACAAGAATTTTTTCAATAAAAATCGTTGATTTCAGATATTATTTTCTCTATGTTAATTGTCGGTGATTATGTTTATCTTAGCTGTATTAATTCAAATAACAAGAAGTACAAGAACGGAACTGAACTGATCTTACAGAGAAAACTCAAAATATTGAAAAAGAATAGTTTGATATTGATAAACGTGAATGATATTGAATTTTGATTATGATATTTTCTTTATAAAAACCATAAATTAGTAGTTTTAATTATTGTTTATTCATTCTTAAAGTGTTAAATCAAAGAGAAATGTGGTAGTAAATACTTCCTAAATCTCAAAGAGGGTGATAGTTAGGCATACAGAAAATTAACAATTTTCAGGCACTTATTTTCATTGACTTGACCATCATTAACAATCTATGAAATAGAAAAAGGATAGGTATGACAATCTTTCAAAACCTAATTTCCAAGTGATTTACCTATTATATTGCGATTTTCAAAGGAACCCAAATATAGATGATTCACAAAAAATTAACTTGTATTCTCCATTGATCTTCAATGTATTTTCTGAATGAGATAATTATGATTTGAATTAGTTTATTTTTCTTGGTAATTAGTTTTTATTGAACATTCTATGAAAACCAAAGACTTTTGACTTTAAAATTACAAGTGCCTGAGACTTCTAACCACAGAACTATAACTCTAGTTATAGTTATACCGATAACACATTGGTTCACAAAACTCTTTAATAATACTATTTAAAGTATATACAAATTCTGTGAAGTTTACGAGTTCTGTGCACAGGTCATGTCACCTTGTCACAGCATAAAGCTAAAAAAAGCCTTGCGCTGTGACCTTGTCATATGTCACTGTCAGGTCTAAATTCCAAATTATCGGTATCTTTGTTTACAACTTACAAGTATACGAATAATTTAAATTGTTTATGAAAACATATAAAATGGCTAGTGTGTTAAATCCCAGCATCACAAAACAACCTTTGAAAATGATAGAAGTTCCTCTATCCAAATTCTCTGAAGAAGTTATCCCCCATCACCAAAAAGTTTTTGATCAGTACAAAGCAATGATACACAAAGTAAGCAGTATAAAACTGATATTCCACGATCAAATTAAGCAACAATTTTTAATTAAAAACTTTTTTCTGCTCGAGTTAGGTAACTGTATACTGGTTTTTGTCCTCCATATATATTTATTTAATTAGTTCCTTTAATCATTATCTGATTTTCGGAATTTCTAGAAAATATCTGTCAATGATACAGGGCAGCTCAAAAAAGAAGTGAAGGACAGAAAGAGGACAATAAAGCAGCTTAGAGACCTAATGTATGAATTGGATACATTGAGAACTCAAGTAGAGGATGAAGACCTCGATAAATTTGATCTTAAAACTCTGTCACTAAGAAAAATATTAATCAACCTCATCAATGGATATACAGGTAACTATTTGCTATGATTGACCTACCCAAGCCATCAATAGATGGACATCGCATACTTTTCTGTAGACCAATAAAAGTTGAAAAATTCCAACACTTTCAACAATCATATTTCACTAATTTAAACAAAATACTAATGAATTACACTCCATTATCATTTCAGGGTTGGAAAAGAGTGTAGACAAAATCTTAAATGATAGTAATATTACAGAAGAGATACAAAAAGAAAACTGTGATCCTTTTGAGGGAACTTCTCAAATACAAATTCAGGGAAGTCTTGAAGAAATTCGCCTCAAACAGAGACAAGACCAGCTGAACGAAGTGGAGAATATCCATAAAGATGTTGAAGATCTACACGAAATGTACCAAAGCCTTAATGAAATTGTTGGAACACAGGCCGAGTTAGTGGAAAATGTTGAAAAAAACGTGGAGTCTACCCAACAAAATGTTGAAAGTGGAGTCCAAAGCTTGGTTAAAGCCCATAAGTAGGTATTTCTAGTTTTCATATTGCAAAATAGAGTGTGAGCTTTCATGGCCGGAGATAACTTTGTCAATGCTATTTTTCGAGTTTATTGACCGTGCTCTGCAGTTTTTTATGTCTGCGGTCGATGCTGTATATAATCCAAATTCAAGGGATATAACATTTATTGCAGAACATCCAGTTAATGTTTTTTTTTTCCAAAGCAATATGTGATTTGAACTTTGGGTTATTGTTAATTTGTAGCCCATGGCTTACTGTCAATTAGTTGATTTCCTTATTTTATTTGATATCAATTTATTTCGAAAGTTACCGGGTTTGTTTTGGATATATTCGTCATCAGCAAGTTGCCATAACACCAAATTTTCTTTGAATTGAAGGAGTTATATTTTTGGGAAAGAAAGTTTTTGGCTTTCTACTACTCCATCTTGATATAAAATAAAAGGATGAGGGAATCTTCCAAAGAAAGGAAGGAAGTAATCAGTTTGAAAATAAGTAACTCTATACATGGATGTGTAGATCATGCAAAGAAGTAACTTTCAGACACAAACTGAAAGAAAGTCCTCCTGAAACAGCTACTTTCATAT